CAGTGACTTCTTTCAATTTTTATAAAAATGTGACGTGCACCCGGTGGACCAAACAAATATGCCGCTTTGCTGTCCTCGTGTGACTGTTTGATGTTGTTTATTTTAAAAAATATAGAAGTAAACCTTCATTAAAGTCAATTTAGGGGATTTTGTTTATGAAAATGACATTTCTGCAAATTCCCTGTAGTCTAAATTTTACCCAATAAGAACTTTATTTTGCACAGCATCAAAAGCATCAAAAGCATCAAAGTAAAAGTACTGAAGGTGAAATCCTGCAGTCACTTAGTAATAATGACTTAAAAGAAGCGTTTCTCCAGTGGAACTTTTTATCTTCTCTGCATTGTTACATTACAGAGTAAAAAGACAGCAAAACAATACAAATTTATCATAAATGTACTGAGATATCGCACCCTGACTTCCTTCTTTTAACAAGGCTGTTTGGTTTGGCAGTCTTCCTACACAGTAGCCCATCCCACAGCTGCAGACTTCCTCCTTCAAGCTGAAGAAAAGCAATCTCTGGATGACTGCTCTGAATAACACTGGATGGCTGCAATGGCTGTTACTTCCAATAGCGTCATCCATCCTGGTCCCTCCATCCATCCAGCTTACTTAGCAGGGCCATTAGAGTATCACCCAATGGGAGTGTGGAATAGCAGAGAGTGATGCACCAAGTTGATCAGGACCATGAGGTGGTGAATTTAGCACCACATGGAATTTATCAACCACAGCCCATTTTACTCAAGATGATCATTTCTTTCAGAGTTCCAGAACCTCTCTGGGTATTCTTGATAGAGTTGGATGGGTGACGAAACGTTTCTCCCACTGAAAACGCTACATCCAAATGAACAGAATCAAACTTTGGGGATTTACTTACCTGGATGATAAGATAAGATAAGATAAGATAACCTTTATTAGTCCCACACGTGGGAAATTTGTTTTGTCACAGCAGGAAGTGGACAGTGCAAAAGTTATGAAGCAAAAATTAGAATACAATAAGAATAAATACAGTACACAACATTACAGAATAGAATAAAATAAAATACTATATACAGTAGAATAAAATAGAATAAAATATACAATAAGAAAAAATAGAATACAAATGCTATATACAACTGAGTAAAAATACAACGATGCCAGAAAAGA